CACAACGACTTCGAAGGAGCCTTGGGGCAATTTCTATTTTGTTAATGTGTCTGGGTAGTATGACGCTATCACTGCAAGCAATTTTGTCGCTGTTTGATACTAAGAGCCATAACATAAGTCGACTGTACAGATCGATCCTTGGATGCAGAATCAAGATGGCTTTAACTTGTAACCATTTATATGTAAACAAAGTTTATCAGTTCTAATCTTGTTAAATGCGCACCTCTGAGAATGACAGTTAAATCTATGATTACAACACTTGTTCCTGGGTGTAATAACAAAAAGAGCCAAATTCCAAACGTCCATGCCCATTTAGAGACCATTTTCGTCGTCCGGAAAATGGATGAAGAAGATTCTGCAATAGGAAATATAATCAAATTATTTAAATACACATTAGAAAATATTTTTAAAATTATTATAACACTAACAGATACACACAATTATACATGATAATTGGGGAATTACACAAATACAGACAACATATATCAGTTTCGACACTTGTGCCCTTGTTCGTAGATTTTTGTTGTAGCCAGGTTCGGCAAAAAATAGCTGAAACTGGCTAAAATAGCCGCGTATGGAGTTTGTCCCAGCCTGTTGAAGACAGACTGTTGTCTTTGCCTGCCATTGAAATTGGTTGTTTTTTACCCAGATATAATCATTAATCTTTTAACGTACTAGCTATATCTCTAACAATACTTTAAATTACAAAAATAAAATTCAAGAAATATAATAAAAAGTTTACCTCACACATCTTCTTGTCTATTGTGCAGTTAATATGGCGTTTTCCCGCCTTTACGTAACCTTTAAGTTCTAAGAGCTAAGACCTAAGTTCTAAGATCTAAGTTCTAAGATATAACATCTAAGTTCTAACTTCTAACTCAAAATGGCCTCAATGGGCTTCCGTAGAATTCTGTATAAACCAAAGAAAGACAAAAATACACTCTTCCAATAAAGAATACTTTTTAATAGGGAGCATTTGCATCATGATTAAGAGAAAAAGCGAAGAAAAAACTTACGGTCAGTGTAAATTTTGTTGGTTTAACTTTTCTATTGTAATTATAGGATAAATTTACCCCACCCACTTTGACAAATTATTAAAACCTACAGTTTTTATGGTTCTCTCATATGTTAACAACAAACTACGGTGTTCCGTTTGGACACGTTTGGACAATCGTGACATTTTATTTATTCTGTACCCGCGATGCACGATGGTACGATGGTGAAAACGCGATGGCACGATGGTACGATGGTGAAAACACGATGGTACGATGGTGAAATCACGATGGTACGATGGTGAAATCGCGATGGCGCGATAGTACGATGGTGAAAACGCGATGTTACATCGCGTTTTCACCATCGTACCATCGTGATTTCACCATCGTACCATCGCGTTTTCACCATCGTACCATCGCGTTTTCACCATCGCGCCATCGCGCTTTCACCATCGTACCATCGCGTTTTCACCATCGTGCCATCGCGATTTCACCATCGTACCATCGCGTTTTCACCATCGTGCCATCGCGATTTCACCATCGTACCATCGCGCTTTCACCATCGTGCCATCGCGTTTTCACCATCGTGCCATCGCGATTTCACCATCGTACCATCGCGTTTTCACCATCGTGCCATCGCCTTCCGGTGGACATGCGCATTGTACATCTTTATCAACAATGGATGAATGCATAACTATGTATTATGTGAGAGGCTATACGTATCGAGACATTTTAAATATAGTGAGGCTTAAAACGGGATTTGATCTCACTATTAATCACAGACTATTTAACCCATTACGTTATATACATGCCTTTTAACGCCTTTTCACCCCCCCCTTTTTGTTGTCTCAATTGGTGAAAAAATGCCTTATTTAGGCCCCCAACACTTGTTTTTGTTTGAGAAATGTTGTTAAAAAAAGTGACCTCTTTTTCGGCGCGGCCCCCCAACCAAAAGATACCTCAGGGGGTTGCCATAAGGGGGATGTGCCCCCTTCTGTTTGGGGGGTTTGAAGGGGGCGGAGCCCCCCTCATCGCCAAGAAAATTTTGGACTTGTGAGAGGCTATAAATGACCCCATATTGATCATAAGGTAACGTGTAAACCAACGCTGAAAAGCATTTGACTCTATCTCAATCCATTGAGAAGTTGCAGCACTTTGAAATCAATTTTGATGGAAAAAATCAACGCAAATAGTGATTTTTGGCAATTTTGAGATGTCCCCCTCGTTGCCATGGTAACAGAAAATTTAAGCCTGAGCATGTTGTTGCAAGGGGCAATGGTCCAGTCAACATTTGTGCCAAGTTTGATTAGTGTTGAAGCATTTTTTATAGTATTATAGCAATTTTGAACTTGTAACGGGAGACTTTTCAACGAAAACAGCCATTTTTCACAAAATGCTCATGAAGTAATGGGTTAATAAGTGTTGTGTATTAAGATTCAATCATTATAAAACCTTTATGCACTGTGCTTAATTCATTCTTGTTACGGTAACAAGAAGATGAATTAAGCACGGTAAACAAGATGAATTAAGCACAGTGCATAAAGGTTTTAAAATGATTGAATCTTAATACACAACACTTATTAAATAGTCTATGATTAATAGTGAGATCAAATCCCGTTTTAAGCCTCACTATATTTAAAATGTCTCGATACGTATAAGCCTCTCACATAATACATAGTTATGCAGTCATCCATTGTTGATAAAGATGTACAATGCGCATGTCCACCTGAAGGCGATGGCACGATGGTGATAACGCGATGGTACGATGGTGAAATCGCGATGGCACGATGGTGAAAACACGATGGCACGATGGTGAAAGCGCGATGGTACGATGGTGAAATCGCGATGGCACGATGGTGAAAACGCAATGATACGATGGTGAAATCGCGATGGCACGATGGTGAAAACGCGATGGTACGATGGTGAAAGCGCGATGGCGCGATGGTGAAAACGCGATGGTACGATGGTGAAAACGCGATGGTACGATGGTGAAATCACGATGGTACGATGGTGAAAACCATCGTACTATCGCGCCATCGCGATTTCACCATCGTACCATCGTGATTTCACCATCGTACCATCGTGTTTTCACCATCGTACCATCGTGCCATCGCGTTTTCACCATCGTACCATCGTGCATCGCGGGTACAGAATAAATAAAATGTCACGATTGTCCAAACGTGTCCAAACGGAACACCGTAACAAACCCTATTTTGAATTGAATTACAAATAAGAAATAAAGTATTTTTTTTTTTAATTTTGCATATAGAGTTAGAAAACCAAATTAAGAGAAATATGCAAAAAACGAGATTTTTTTCTTGATATCTTTAAAGATATTTTAGACATAAACTTAAAAAACTTTAATTTTCATTATGATTAACATATGATTTGATTATTTTTGATATATTTAAACACTTTTTATAGAAATAAACATAATTTGTGCTACAAATTATACTATAGAAATTTATATAAACAGTTTTGTGTAAAAATCGGCGGCCATATTGGACGCCATCTTGGATTGAGAAGAGGTACGAAAAGTTTGTAAAATTTAAATTTTGTAAAGGAGACACTTTATACATGCTTCGGTGTAAGTTTCAGGTCTTTACAAAAAATTTGACTGAATGAGTTATGTACGTTAAATTTATATGGCGGCCATTTTGAAAATGGCGGCCATCTTGAATGAGCAGAGATATTTTTGGGCCCACTTCACTTTTGAAAACTATGTAGTCTAAAGATGATTTCCTGAAAGTTTCATGCTTGTATCACCATTTGCACTATTTTCTCAATTTCCCGCCCCACTACGAATGTAAATAGATATTTGCTTAAATTGAGTTCAAATCCTCTTTAATGAACTCACGATTTTTTAACACCTTTAATATGTTGAGTTCTTAATTGTTAATGGGCAGAATGGAACGATTGAATGAATAAGGTAATTTCGATTAGATTTTTATTGTAGAGCTATGACATTGAGTTTTAAAATTTTGCAATGATAATATTTGACTTATTTCGCTGGGAAACGCACAAGTATGATTTATATTTAGCAAATCTAACATGTACAACAGGTTCATTGTTTGTATTTCAGCGTTGTTATAAATTAAAGATAAGATACACCGTGTAATTTTTAAGATTTATTAAGCTTCACCTAACTATGCATTCTTCAATTGTAAAACGTCGGATTGTGTCACATTCGGAACACCTCGCTGAAATACTTGTTCTTATCGCTTTTGTCCGAAGTTTAACGGAAATAAACGAAAACTCCCGATTGTCACTTTATCGTTGTTTTATGTGCAAAAATGTCAAAGTGTTCAATGAAAGATAGTAGCACCGACCAAGATAGAAACAAAACTATTTACACTATGTCTTAAAGATTTGTCATAAACATCTGTTGTTGTATTTGCCTGTTTACTATTGTGTATGAACTATGAAAATAACCTATTTTGTAATTTTCATTTGTTTGTTTATGACATGATTTAAAAATGTTTTGAAACTTTTATATCATTTTTTAGTCAAACCGACACTGTAAGGTTATGTGGCTACATTCCAGCTTTAGTATTAGTTGCCCGTCCTTGTATTAGTTCGGACACAAGAAGATATACCGACCTTCCGAAAGCTTGCAACACATTAAAAAAGTGTGCTTTATTTCATTTTATTTCATATTCGTTCGCTGCCAACTAAGAAAAAAAGAGCGTTAATCAAAACACATAGCTGAACATTAGAAAAAGTTTTATTATGTGTTTGCTTCACATGTAATGATTTATCCTGAGCATAACCAGATGTGTTTAAAAAATGTTACTAATTTTCTTATAATGTTGGGAGGTAAGTTGCAAGTAGCGTTTACAAATGTCATTATCCGGTCAGCTTACTTTATACATGACATAATTATTATGGAACATGAATTAAAAGGTATTTACTATATTCGACTTTATATTTATATGTTGTACAGAAATTTACATAATATAAGATTTCTTTGAACATTGTAATAAAAAGTGAATTTCATAAATAATTTACCTGTGTCTGAAATAACCACTTGTAGTGAAGTAAAAAATACACATAGAAAACACAAGACATAAATTCCCTTCTCCATCTTTTCCTTTGAGAATAACTAAACTCTCATTCGGAAGATAAACAAATGTCAGGTAAACGAAGATATGGTGGCTGATTTCGGCCATTTCGTGTCTTCGCCCCTCAAACGTCGAAGGCGAAGATACGAAGCCACTATAATATACCCGCTAATACCGCTTTTGAGGGCAACGACACAACGACACGACATATTTTAGTCAAAATAATGATATTTCAATAGGCAAATATACGAGAATTATATCGACGGGAAGAAATCTGTTTATCGGCGCCCTAAATTTGTTGTGTCGCCGTCTCAAAATACGGAAAACGAACATACGACGACACGAAGACTCGATTAATTGGCAGACTATCGTGTTTTCGCCTTGTGCATTTTGAGGCGAAGACACAGCAAATATAGGGTAATACCCGCAGACACGATCATTTTACAGAAGAATATTTCATGTCTTCGCCTATTAAAATATAATTATTTTGCCTAAAAAAATGTATCATGTCTTCGTGTAGGCGCCCTTAAATGTCGAAGGCGAACGAGCATATTATCGTCTCTTCGTATCTTCGCCTTTGACTTTTGAGAATCGAACATGGCAGAAATCAGCCACCATACGAATGCCAGGTTAATATAACGACTGAATTATTTCGCATCATACAGCAAGGTATACAATAACAGGTGCAGACGATCATAGAGGCGATTACTTTGAGGAATATTAAAAATAAAAATGAAATTAAGACATTAAAGATATACGAGTACTATGCTCATCTTTGGCTTACATACTTTAACAGCAGAAATTTATTGAAGTCTAGAAATTCTATTTGAACAAGGTACATTTATTCTAAACGCTATCGACCATGAAATTTTATAAGACTTCTTATAACATTAGAGCTAATTTGTCTCGTTTTGCAAAACAGAGATTGTCCGGTTGAACTCTTGGTCATAGCCGGGAGCGTTTAGAAATCTTATAGATAACAAATTGGTGTGTATTTGTATTTACGAACATAAGGACATTTTACATGAGATTGCTTTTCTGATTGAGGTTTATCTTATGTAAAGATGTGTTTCAACGAGACCGCAAATTACGCAATCAACGAAGTGATAAAATCCAAAAGAACGACACATTTGTTTCCTTTTTGATAAACATTTTGTTAAACGCGTAAAGAAATAAGAAAATGAAATAAAATAAAGAAAGCGATCCTGCGTTTGGGCAAATCGGGTGTGTAATATTCTTAATACATGAATTTACTTTATACATAAATTATTGGATCGATTAGCACCAGAGTCATTTATACATAAAAAATAGTTGTATATCAACTCTGAATATTATGTTCCAATTTTTATATCTTTGAAATTATTTACACCAACACATGCGCATGAATAGTATCATATTTAAAAAAATGTCATAGCCTGTTATGTCTAGTGTTCCATTATTTTCATTATTTTAAATGAAGCTCCTATGCGTTTATAACTCTTACACTGTATTATGCATACATTGCATTATTCTTACACTGTATTATTCTTACACTGTATTTTACTTACACTGCATTATCCTTACATTGTATTATTCTTACACTGTATTATTCTTACACTGTATTATTCTTACACCGTATTACCCTTACACTACATAATTCTTACACTGTATTATACTTACACTGTATTATCCTTACACTGTATTATCCTTACACTGCATTATCCTTACACTGTATTATTCTTACACTGCATTATCCTTACACTGTATTATTCTTACACTGCATTATCCTTACACTGTATTATCCTTACACTGCATTATTCTTACACTGTATTATTTTTACACTGAATTACACTGCATTATTCTTACACTGCATTATTCTTACACTGTATTATTTTTTTACACTGCATTATACTTACACTGTATTATACTTACACTGTATTATCCTTTCAATGTATTATACTTACACTGTATTATTCTTACACTGCATTATCCTTACACTGTATTATTCTTACACTGTATTATTCTTACACTGTATTATTCTTACACTTTATTATTCTTACACTGTATTATTCTTACACTGTATTATTCATAGAGATAACACATATATTGTTAGTTTCTTGTCATAAATAAGGATATTACTTGCAATAGCAAGGCCAATCTGTTTTTCTTATCATGTTCAATCACATTACAACTTTGTTCTCTTGTGTCAAACATCTTTCTCGATAAATTTTAACAAATACATGTTGGCACCGCGTAACCCTATTTGTGCTCTTAGACTTTTTTTAGTACTTTTTTGACCTACATTTCTTTTGACTTTGACATCTTAACTTAAATAATCTCTTGTATTATCAAACACGCCACCAGTACTGACTGTGTTATCATACATTGCGTTAAATGTTTACTTTATAGCCTAATGTGACGTCACATGCTCTTATTTCGATTTATTATATTGCCGCATATTTTAAGGGGCGATGAACAAAAGGCAAAAAACTTTTTTTTTAGTTTTAGTTTCTCCCTCCCCTTTTGTTAAAAAAGTTTCACGTTTTTATTTTAAATGTTTTTTACTATTTTAAAGGGACTCCACTGAGATCCAAAAGTTTAAAAACATAAAAATTGAATTTCTTACAAAGCTCAAAACAGAACCATATGCAAAAAAAAAATAATTAAGAAATAGACTCAAAAAATTGAAAATCATATTTGTGATATTATAAGCCCTATTTTAGTGTAATCTTTGGTAATTTTTGCAGTTATAATAATTATTTAAGAAAAAAGGAGTGAGTGAATAGTCTGAAATTTTGCTCACTAGCTATTGGTGTAGATTTACATCAAATGGAAAATAAATCTCTCGAAACATTTTTATTCAGTCTTGCCATGTCTAAAACCCTGAGTGGAGTCCCTTTAAAATGTTGGTCCGTTATAATTAAAAATATAACACATGGCTCAACAGTAATATTAATAAATACCTGCACTCCAGTTAACGCACTTTGCATGTTTATGTATACGATTTAACTCTAACAGATTTTCTTCAGAAAGGTCCCCAAACTATGATACAATTTAAAAATAACGCATCAAATTCAATTTCTATGGATGATTTTATTCGCAATACACTTCTTAT